CTGCCTTGTCCCTCCACAGACCTTCCAGGTTTCTGACACAAGATGGCATGCTCCTGCCTTGTCCCTCCACAGACCTTCCAGGTTTCTGACACAAGTCGCCTGCACAGCACCTACCACTTGCAGGGCAGGTCCTGGCGGGCCCGAGGCTCTGGGAGGTGGGGAGGTCTGTGGGATGACTATGAAATACACAGGAAAGCTTTCGTGGATGCTTTCAACTCTGAGTAATGGAACTAAGGCTTCCCTAAAGCCTTTTCTTATACTTTCTTACTTCCTGTATAGGAAAACATGACATGGTGGGTTTGTCTGGAGACCGGATCTTATGAGGTTGTCCAGGGTGTCCGGAATGCCTGGGCTCAAGTGCATCCTCCCACCTTAGTCTCCTGAGTAGCTGGGAGTACAGACAAGCCCACACCACTGTGCCCAGCTAAGAAATGTCTTTGAAAAACTGCTCAATTATATTTACTTATTTGTGTATGTGTATGGGTGCATGAGTACCACATCACATGTGTGGAGGCTGGAGATTAAAACAGTATAATGAAAGCTGGGCATCCTGGCATACCTTTAATCCCAGCACTCAGAGGCAGAGGTAGGCAGATCAAACCTCAATGTTCAAAGCCAGCCTGATCTACAGAGTGAGTTTCAGGAGAACCAGGATCCCGTCTTTAGAAAAAATAGCTTTAAAAGTGAAACGGATGTCAGTCAGCTCGACAGTTCTTTTGTATTACATTTTTTTGTTTATTTACTCCTGAACTTGTGTGTATACTGTGTGGGTGTGCAAGTCATAGCACACATGTGTTACTGAACCATAGTTTAGCAAGACAGTGTGTATTAGTGAGGGTTTCTACTATTGTGATGAAACACCATGATCAAAAGCAACTTGGGGAGGAAAGGGTTTATTTCAATTTACAATTCCACAACACAGTCCATCACTGAGGGAGTCAAGATAGGAACCTGGAGGCAGAAGCTGATGCAGAGGCCATGGAGGGGTGCTGCTTACTGGCTTGCTCCTCATGGCCTGCTCAGCCTGCTTTCTTATAGAAGTCAGGACCACCAGCCCAGGGTGGCACCACTCACCATGGGCCGGGCCTCGTGTATCAATCACTAAGTAGGAAAATGTACCCCAGGCTTGCACACAGGCCAGTGTAGTGGGGGCATTTTCTCAGGTGAGGTTCCCTCCTCCCAAACAACTCTAGCCCGTATTAAGCTGACATGAAAAACTAGCCAGCATACAGAGGAAGCATGGTAAGAGCCTGCAGGACCTCCCCGAAGTTTTCCTACTTCTTGTGAACCTCTAAGTACTTCAAATAAAATGCTGGTTTTTAAATTGGGGTTTTGCACATGTGCGGATGGTCGTGTGCTGAGTGCAGACAGCCTGTGTGCCGTCAGAGGACAGCCTCAGGTACTGCTGCTCCTCACTTTCTGCTTTGTCTGAGAGCTTTCGAGAATTCTGTCTCTGCCTGCCACCTCATCACAGAAGCACGGAGATTACAGATGCATTCATTCCCTGGCTTTATGAGGGTTCCAGGGATTCAAGTTCAGGTGCTCAGGTCATGAGCCATCTTTCTAGCCCTTTAAAAAATTGCTATTTAGGGTGGCACACATCTTTAATCCCAGCACTCGGGAGGCAGAGCCAGGTGGATTTCTGTGAGTTTGAGGCCAGCCTGGTCTACAGAGGGAGATCCAGGACAGGCACCAAAACAACATTGAGAAATCCTGTCTTGAAAAACAATAACAAAAAAAATTTATTTATTGTTAGTGCTCATGTCAGCACGTGTGAATTTGTGTGTACGTATGCCATGGCATGCATATGGAGGTCAGAAGACAACCTGTGGCAGTCACTTCTCACTCTGAACAACTGCATGGGCTCCAGAGATCAGACTCAGGTCATCAGGCTTGGCGACAAGGCCACCTTTACTAGCTGAGCTACCTCGGGCAGTCCTTGTTTGCTTGTTTTTGAAAAGCACACTGAGCCTAACAGTACAGATTTGTAATCCCAGCTACTGGAAAGGCTGAGGCAGTAGATTGTGAGCTGAAGTCCTGACTGAAGTGAAGAACTAGTTCAAGACCGGCCTCAGCAACTATTTCAAAATAAAAAGAGGGCTGGGGACATAGTTCAATGGTAGACACTTGTCTAGCACACACAGAGCCCCAGAGGAAAAAGAAAGCGTATGGAGGGAAAGACCACAGCTAAAATGCTAGGTGCTTCTTCTCCCACCGCCTGTGTCCATGAAATAAACTAGTGGGCAGCTTAACTCTGTGGATGACATGGCAGATGGACCTGAAAAGGGTACAAACAAAACCACCAAACAGGAAAACTACAAGGCACCCATGATGGGGTGTGGGAGCTGTTACGACACTTTCAAACCCAGTGACTCCAATCACCCCCTAGATGATCTTGCACGACGCACCAGAAAAGGGGTGCAAAGATGTTCAAAGCGATATTATTGGGAATTAGAAAAAACTGCCTTGGAACCAGTGAGATGGCCCAGCAGGTGACTCCTGCTGCAAACAAGCGTGACACCCACCAACTGCTCTCTGACTTCCACATGCACATATGTCTACACACACACACTCACAGATAAACATAGGGAGAAGAAGAAAACTGTCCAACGTGGAGAACAGAGGCATCAGCTGTGTTGTACTGTAACACACCACCTAGCAGTGAAGACCACAGTACCACTAGGAAGATCAACCACAGCATGGACCCAGAGTCTCCACGTGCACACATACACTATTTATATCAACACTCAAGTCTTCGTTTCTTAAAATGTCTATGAGGGTTTTGCCTGTGTGTATTGGATCCCCTAGAACTGGAGTTACAGACAACTGTAAGCTGCCATGTGGGTGCTGGGAACCAACCCAGGGTCCTCTGTAGGAATAGCAAATGCTTTGAATCACTGATCAATCTCTCCAGCCCCAGTGCCCGTGTTGTTTTCATGTAGGAACAGCCCTCTTGGTGGACTGTAAATTCAGTAATGCATGAATGGAAGACTCTCAGGCTAATGACAGCCTCTGGTGGGAGAGATGGTGGGAGAGAAGGAGACCAGGGAAAGCCTAGGAAGGCTCTTGCCCCTGGCCCCATGCTCTCTGCTCAGGGGAGCAGTGAGCTGCAGGTGTCTGAGCCATTCTTCAGTGTACCAATTAGGATGCATGTATGAAATAATATGTGTGAGTTTGGGGTCAGGGACCAAACCCAAGGCCTTATGAACCACAACCCTTACTGCCAATCTGTGTTTAAAACTTTAATCAACATGGTCCCTTACTTTAACCATAAAAATAACAACTTCCCAAACAAGGAAATAAACAGCTGTACCGTATTTAGGTAACTATATAGATACTGCTTTTTCCTCCCCCCCCTCCTCCCTTCTTTCTTGGTTTTAAGACAGGGTTTCTCTGTGTAGCTCTGGGTGTCCTGGAACTCACTCAGTAGACCAGGCTGGCCTTGAACTCAGAGATCCTCCTGCCTTTGCCTCCAGAGTGCTAGGATTAAACAAGTGTACCATACCCGCCCAGCTCCTTCCTATGTTTTTTCCTAAACCATTACCATTTTTCTGTTGGGGATCAAAATTAAAGTATAGCACAAAACACTGACAGACATGATACTTACCTGGTCAACCCAGCCCCCATGGTCTTTATGGACACAATTACAAGTAAGTCTACAGAGTGATGGTGGTAACAATAGAAGAGAACTACGTACCACAATGATGGCAATCCTTCCTCCGACATCGCCAACAACCGTGATTGGGGGCTTTTCTTTTGGAATCAGCACTGGTCAGAATGAAACACACACTTCAGTGCCTATGCTCAAAGGTAGAACAAAGACTTAAAAGATTTTAAGTAGTTAATGTCACTGCTCATGGTGATGCACGCCTTTAATCCCAGCACTCAGGAAGCAGAGGCAGGGGAATCTCTGAGTTCGAGGCCAGCCTGGTCTACAGAGAGAGTTCCAGGACAGCCAGGGCTACATAGAGAAAGCTTGTCTCAAAAAAACAAAAACAAGCCAGGCGGTAGTGGCGCACGCCTTTAATCCCAGCACTCGGGAGGCAGAGGCAGGAGGATCTCTGTGAGTTTGAGGCCAGCCTGGGCTACAGAGTGAGATCCAAGACAGGCACCAAAACTACACAGAAAAAACCCTGTCTCAAAAAACAAAACAAAACAAAACCAAATACCAAGCAACAAATGAAAATATAAATTAGACTTCATTAAATTCTTTGTACACCAAAGGGCACTATCAAGACAGAAAAGAGAACTCCCAGGATGACATAGTATGTAAATACTGTCTCTCTGGTGAAAGCCTGGTATCATTTAACTTGGTAACAAGATAAACAACCAATTAAAAAATTGGCAAAAGATGTGAATAGACATTTCTCAAACAGCCTACAACCACACAAACACTTCCTGACATTATTAGTTATTAAAGAACCACAACCGCCAGGCTGTGGTGGCGCACACCTTTAATCCCAGCACTTGGGAGGCAGAGCCAGGTGGATCTCTGTGAGTTTGAGGCCAGCCTGGTCTACAGAGAGAGTTCCAGGAAAGGCGCAAAGCTACAGAGAAACCCTGTCTGGGGTGTGTGTGTGTGTGTGTGTGTGTGTGTGTGTGTGTGTGTGTGTGTGTGTGGTGGGGGGTAGTTAAGAGAGAGGCTAGGAAGATGGTCCAGTGAGTAAAGTACTTGCATGAGGACTGAGTGTGGGTCCCCAGCACCTATGCTAAAAAAAAGAAAAATAAAGAAAATCTGGGTGTAACAGTGTGTCCTTGTAATCCCCAGGTTGAAGAGGATAGGACAAGGAGGTCCTTGGGACTTGCTGCCTAGCCAGTCTAGACAACAGGTGAGCTCTAGGCAGCGAGACCTTGTCTCAAGAACAAACAAACAAACAAAACCATGGAAAGCACTGAGAACATTACCTAACATGGACCTCTGACCTCCGTGTGCATGTGCATCTGCAAATATACACGAGTGTGCATGCGAACACACACACACACACACACCAAAGAGAATCCATGGGCTGCAGAACTTAAGTGGCTCTGTAGTGAAGAGCAATGGCTACTCTTCCAAAGGACCTGAGTTTGGTTCTCAGCACCCAGGTGCTCACAATATCCTGTGACTCCAATTCCAAGGGATCTGATGCCATTTTCTGTCCTCTGTGAGTACTTGCACACACGGCATACACATAAAAACAAAAATAAATCTAAACATTTAATAGTAGTTAAAAAAAGAGAATTTATACTAAAATATCCCCTCCACAAATTCAAGCAGCTCAGAGAAAAGTGGCAAAAAGATCCCTGTGGACACTTACTTGGGATCTCCAAGCTGGGGTGGATAGCAGCTACACTCCTGACCATGGGTGGGGAGTGCCGACCATCCACCAAGTCAGACTCAGCATCCTGCGCTTCTCCATGGATCACTGCAATTCCCAGTCGCAGACGCTCCGCGAAAGACTGTGCCCTGCAAAGAACAGTAGACAGAAATGAAAAAACCACACAGAACCTTGACCTGCTAATGTCTAGGCAAAGGACATGAGCAAAATGTTTCTCCCAAAGGAGTAGTTACAAAAGAGAAGCCGGGTGGTGCTGGCGCATGCCTTTAATCCCAGCACCTGGGAGGCAGAGGCAGGTAGATCACTGAGTTCCAGGTCAGCTTGGTCTACAGAGTGAGTTCAAGGACAGTTGGGGCTACACAGAGAAACCCCGTCTTGAAAAACAATAACAACAACAACAAAACGAAAAGCCAAACCAACCAACCAACCAAAAACCCAAAAGAGAATGACCACTTAGGACTCAGGAAGACTGAGCCACAAATGAGCTGGGAGCCATCAGCCAATGAGAACCTAAGTGTTAAGGAACTCTCTTGCAGCCTCAAGTTTCCTCTCTTGCAACTGCTAGTACTATCTGCCAGACTTCTCTGAGGTCCATTAAACACTCATTAAAGTATTACACATTAGTTTTTGAAAGCTTTATGAAGGCACAATGAGAACACAAGAAACTACATACTCCAAGCACACAACTTCACAACCTCTGAGAGACCTTTATATTGCTGCTTATCTATTTACTTATTGTTGGGAAATTGAGTTACTTCCCTTCCCTCATTTAAATTTTTTTATGAAGGATTTTTATTTTACTTTTAATTATATGTACAGATGTGTCTGTTGTGGGTATATGCACATAAGTACAGTTGCCCATGGAGGTTAGAAGAGTGCTAGACCCCTGGAACTACCCTCTGTGAGTACCTGGTTGTGAGCCACTTGACATGGGTGCTAGATTTGAGACGCTGTCTCACTATGTAGACCAGGCTGTCCTGAAACTCAAGAGAGATCCTCCTGCCTCTGTCTCCCAAGTGCTGAGATTAAAGGTGTGCCCCAGTGTATATGGACCTATTAACTTACAAGTTTACTAAGTGACTGAGTTAGTTATAACAGCATTTTCCCAAAGTCCATCACATCTCTGATATAAGTGATCAAGTCATCTATACACATTCTCATTGTTCTTAACCGCGTAATCCAGAACCTCGGTGCCAGCTGTGTGCAAGTGCAAGAACAGACACTGCTGTCTTCTTCTAGAACTTGGGCTTGGGCTTGGGGGTAACATCAGTTTTCACCACTGAGGGGTCAACTCTACGTTTTTACAGATCTTTCTCTGATGAAAAAGTTCCGTTCTTTTCTTAGTTTGTATAAGCTAGATTGTCAAATCTTTGAGTCTGAGATAATTATGTGGCTTCTCTCTCTTTTTTTTTTTTTTTTTTTTTGTTCTTTTAACATGGTGACTGACATTTACAGACCTTTAAAAGCTGATACACCAACCTCAGGATTTTGGGACAAGCTCCAAGAGCACGATGTGTTCATCTTTTGTACATTGTTAATTCAGTGTTTTAGAACTCTCTATGGTCACTGGGATCAGCGATCAGTGACGAAAGCCTCAAAATGAGGTGAAAACATCTTGACCACTTTTCTGGAAATGTCTATAAAAGTTACCATTCACTCTCCCATAAATGTGTGACAAAATTCACCATTAAAATCTGGACTCTACTGGATGTGGTGGCTCATGGGCATAATCCCAGCTGGAGGCTAAAGGAGGAGGAATGCTTTAAATTCAAGGCCAGTGTGGGCCACAGAAAAAGACCCTGTCAAAAAAAAAAAAAGGAATGGATACAGTTTGCATGACTTAAATCATTAACAAAAAAACCCCCTTGTTTCTGCCTGCATGTATGTCTGTACACCATGTGTATGCAGTGCCTGAGAGGCCAGAAGAGGGTGTCCTGGAACTGGAGTTAGGGATGGTTCTTAGCCACCTCTTCTATATTTCATAAAATATATTTATTTAATTTTACATGTATGCCTGTTTTGTCTACAAGTATGCATGTGCACATGTGTGCTGGTGCTCACAAAGGCCAGCAGAGGATTGTTGGGAGCTTCCATGTGGGTGCTGTGAATAAAAACCAACCAGGTCCTCTGGAAGAGCAGCCAGTGCTCTCTACTGCTGAGCCATCTCTCAGACCTGCTTTACAGCACAGAATGTCCAGGTGGCGTCCCTGGCTGAGCTGGTGCTTGGTGGCCTTCCTGATGTTCTGTCTGTTCTACTGATTACTGACAGAGGAGGGGTGAGACTGTCAGCCACCCCAGAGGACATTTCTCCTCACAGTTACTGTATTTGAAAAGAAACCTTGCTACTTAGTTCATAATGACTGCAATTACCACACCTTCCTGAAGAAGTGACCCTTTTTCCTTTCTGATGGTGACAACCTCCCTAAGAGAACATGCCTCTTACAAAAGATTTCCTTCATCCCTCTCCAGAATAGGAAACACAAGAAAAAGCATCTAGTGCTGAGCCCCAATTCCTATTTTATGGTGTAAAATGCCCAGGATGCTGTAAAATCACAACTGTCTTTAGCCATGCACAAAGGGTAGTCATGTGTGTTGGCTGCTCCAGTATCCTGTCAGCCCACAGGTAGAAAAGCATGGCTGACGGAAGGATGCTCCTCCAGAAGGAAACAGCACTGAAAACACCTGATTCAAGACGAGTGGGAACCATCCCAAGAAACACATTTTTTTGGGGGGGGGGGGGAGTGACCTTTTCTTAAAGATTTATTTTGTTTATTATGGGTATAATGTTCTGTCTGCATGTATGCCGGTAGGCCAGAAGAGGGAGCCAGATCTCATTACAGATGGTTGTGAGCCACCATGTGGTTGCTGGGAATTGAACTCAGGAACTCTGGAAGAACAGCCAGTGCTCTTAACTGCTGAGCCATCTCTCCAGCCCCCTTTTCTTTTCTTTTGGTTTTTCAAGACAGGGTTTCTCTGTGTAACAGCCCTGGCTATCCTGGAACTCTATAGACCAGGCTGGCCTTGAACTTACTGAGATCCACCTGCTTCTGCCTCCCTTCTTTATTCCTGGGAAGTTCACTGCTCTGGTTTGTCAGGTATTGACACAGCCACTTTGGCTTTCTTTTAAATAATCAGTTCCCATGGTATGCCACTGTCCTAGTTTGCTTTCTGTGGTGATAAAGTCCATGACCTAAACCAACTTGGGGAGGAAAAGATTTATTTGGCTTACACTTTTTGATCACAGTCCACCACTGAGGGAAGCCGAGACAGGAACTGAAGCAGAGACCTCAGAGGAGTGCTGTTTACTGGCTTGCTCCTCAGAGCTTGCTCAGCCCACTTTCTTATACAACTCAGTACTACCCACCTAGTTGTGGCATCACCCACAATGGACTAAACTCTCTCACATTAATCAAGAAAATGCCCCACAGATAACCCCACAGGCCAGTTAAATGGGGGAAATTCCTCAACTGAGGTTCCCTTTTCTCAGTTGTCTAGTTTGTCAAATTAACAAAAATTGCCCAGCACAGTCACGTTATCTTTTAACTTCAAATCCCACCCACTTCCATTCACCTGTGAACCTTGCCTTAGTAGGTCCCTGGCCACACAACCTACCCATCCCCCACTGGGCCAGACTCCTATGTGGGACCTTGGGTCTTCCATTTTATCAGATGCATAGGACCCAACCATTCTAGTCTTGCTTTTCCAGCACCAATAACAATTGAAATCAGGCTGTATCGACAAGCCCAAAATAGCTAGAGAAGCAAGGGGAGGAGAGACTCGACCGACCCAGAACCATCTCAGACACTGGAGAGCACTTACGTGACAGATGGAGAGCAAGGCCAGGAAACAGTTCCCTGGGGGTGGGGTGGGGAAGGCAGAGACCTCGCCACCGCAGTACTCCTACCTGCTCCCCAACTGAGGAAAGTGCTGTTACAATGCTAGGAATCACCCCAGGAAACCTATACTCTCGCTCAGTCACTGTCAAGGTGCATTTTTAGAGACATAATGCCTCTTTCAGTAGAAAGTGTGACATTACGCCGGGCGGTGTTGGTGCACCTTTAATCCCAGCACTCGGGAGGCAGAGGCAGGCAGATCTCTGTGAGTTCGAGGCCAGCCTGGTCTACAAAGCGAGTTCCAGGAAAGGCACAAAGCTACACAGAGAAGAGAAACCCTGTCTCGAAAAACCAAAAAAAAAAAAAAAAAAGTGTGACATTACTATAGCACATGCACCTTAACTGTCCCGTGACACTAAGACTTCTCAAACACACCTAAGTAAGCCATAGGCTTGGTCCTATCAAGAAATGAATTCTCATTTCTTTTTTTTGTTTTTGGTTTTTCGAGACAGGGTTTCTCTGTGTAGCTCTGCGCCTTTCTTGGAACTCACTTGGTAGCCCAGGCTGGCCTCGAACTCACAGAGATCCACCTGCCTCTGCCTCCCGAGTGCTGGGATTAAAGGTGTGCGCCACCACCGCCCAGCGAATTCACATTTCTAAGGAAAATAGGAAGAACTTTCATAGGAGCAGGGCTGTCCCACACAGTTAAACATAAAAGGGATCTGTATGTGTGTGTCTGAGCTCAGAAAAAAGGAGAGCATATTTTATTAAGAATTACCAAATACCCCAATTTTATGATTTGGTATTGGGGCTAGGGTGTGGCTCAATGGCAGAGCACTTTCTGACATGTCTGACACTGAGTTCCATTTCCAACACTAAATAACAGTAGCAATAATTAATTAAAAAGCTGTTTGACATCACTTTAGCTGGTAGCCACTGTCCCAGCAGCCACTGGAGAGGCCAGGCAGACCCGCCTGAACAAGGGTTCAGGCTGTCATAAGCACCACAAAACATACATGGATGAACCTCCAGGATATGGTGCTGGGTGAAGAAAGCATGCCATAGGTCATTTACTTGTGACTGCAAATCCACAAAAGCAGACAGATATGAGTATGTGCCCAGGGGCAGTATGAGAAGGATAAGGTGATTACTTAATGGTCACGGTGATTTTTTATGATGACAAAGTCTTACAAGCAGTGACAGGTGGCGGTTGTACATAATTATAAATGCACTATAAAAGCTATGAACTGTGAAAAGACTTCAGTCCTTACAGACTCTCAGCATGGATTCAACTTTCTGAAATTCAGAAATTGCAAGCATACAGAAAACTGCTTGCCTCTGTCCTGACTATGGGATACACTTTGGTTCTTGCCTTGTTTCA